CTGTTGCTAAGGCAATGCCAGCCCTTGATTGGAAGGAGGCGGGTGGTGGGTGAGCTCCTAGGGTAGGGAGGAGGTCAAGAAGCGAGTTCCGGTTCCTGAAACCCTCCACTGCTCACCGGGCAGCGTGCGTGCGTCTCCGGATTACATAACAACGTTTCGAAACTGGATCTTCCTCAGGAAATGTTAGAGTAGTACAAAAGCTCTCTTGCTCATAAAGTGCTTTACAACAAGTCATGAAAGAGAATACATTCAGGACGGACGCTGATCTGAATAAGTATTCAGGCTCAAATATGCTGCTAAGAGAGCCAGTTTGGTGTAGTGGTTAAGTGTGTGGACTCTAATCTGGGAGAGCCGGGTTTGATTCCCCACTCCTCCACTTGCATCTGGCTGGATGACCTTGGGCAAGCCGTAGTTCTGATAAGAGCTGTCCTTGAAAAAGAGCAGTTTCTGTCAGAGCTCTCTCAGCCCCACCTACCTGACAGGGTATCTGTTGTGGGGAGGGGAAGGGAAAGGAGTTTGTAAGCCGCTCTGAGACATCTTTGGGTAGTGAAGGGCGAGGTATAAATCCAATCTCCTCCTCCTCCTTCTCCTTCTCCTTCTTATTCTTCGCTTCTAATGGATCCCAGGCGTCTCACAACGATGTTGATGATGTATTTTCACACTAGGATTTTCTTATGATTTGAAGGAATTTGTTTATTGTGTTGTAGTGCTTGTTGACCATAATATACAGAAAGCATCTTCTTTGCAAGTCTTGTCGACTGCTTGATCTGTGGGTCAGACTCTCACGGGCTGTTTTCTTTACATTTGTTCTCTGTTTAAATGCAAGGGCATACGATATTTAAGGCACCACTAATGTGTCTGCTCAAATTCATGTATTCATCATTACAATCTTTAGGGTATGTTGTTTAGCTCTGGAATTGTCTCCTTTGAGGATATTGCCAATTGTATAGAACTGGGCAATTTGCCCCGTCTCAGTTGATAATTTTGAAATGCCCTTCACAGCACAAGTTCTATATTGAATTCAAAAATCCTTATCCTGAGCAAACTGCATTGGATTCAGTGGTGTATATATGTTCAGTAAAGTGCTTTGGATCAGTGTGATTTTACAGTACCGCGGCTAAAATAAAGACTATGAGGTTGTTTAAAATAAATCTAGGCGCTGCGGTGGCTCAAGTGGTTAAGACGCTGAACTGCAGGCTGTGGAAGGTCGGTCGTTCAGCAGTTCGAGACCCGAGTGTGCCGCATGACGGAGTGAGCTCCCGGCTTCTAGTTCCAGCTCCTGCCAATCTAGCAGTTCGAAAGCAAGAAATTGCAAGTAGATAAATCGGTACCACTTCGGTGGGAAGGTCACAGCGTTCCATGCGCCTTGGTGTTTAGTCATGCCGGCCACATGACCATGGAAATGTCTTCGGACAGCGCTGGCTCTTCGGCTTTGAAACGGAGATGAGCACCGCAACCCTAGAATCAGATTCGACTGGCTTTCGAGCAAGGGAAGCTTTATCTTCACCTAAGATAAATCTAGTATAGAAAGCATATTGGGAACAACAGTTAAAAGATTGTCCCCAAATAATAGAGCCTTGTCCTTTATAACCTCAATATAACGACAACGGGAAGAAAAGGATAAAGGACAGAGACAGGGTTGACTGGGATGAATACTAAACCCTGAATTTAGAAATCTAGAAAGAACGATTACAGAGACTAGATAATATTCTTGGCGATTAAGTTACAGGGATAAAAAGCATTACGGTCACAGGAACAACACAATTGAGGGTGTGGTGTGCAGTCTGACCACCCTTTTATTAATCCCGTGTTAGTCCCTTTTGCTGTGTAAGAATACGAGTTATCTTCGGTGTTCCCTCTAAGCTGAGTTAGTGTGAGCTGGCTCACAGTTTTTTAGCCTCCAGCTCACACATTTTTGTCTTCGCTCGGGAAGGAGGGCTCCAGAGCAAACTAATTTATGCAGTTGCCAAATCGCTCGCTCACAGCTTTAATGCCAGGAGCTCACAAAGTAGAATTTTTGCTCACAAGACTCCACAGCTTAGAGGGAACATTTATGTGTACAATATTCGCAGGTGGAATAGCATGTTGGTTTTTTTCCCCTCCTAGACGGTGACAAGTCCATAGAAGGTCTCCACGTCCTTCATCCAGGATGGCATGAATATGCATTCAGCTTTCAGCTTCCACAGACGTGAGTATAGCCTTGGTGCCGTGTGACAGAGCATACCGACAGGAAATCCGTGGATAGGAAGTCCATACATTAAGATATGGAGGCAAGGAGAGGAAAAAACCCTTTTCAATAGTGACAGAGAGGGCACTAGCACATGCTGCGGGGCGCCTCTTCCCTAAGAGACCATTCGAAAGAGGTTGGCTTTTTTTTTTTTTTTACATTTTATTTTATTTCAACTTAAACAATACACAAACTTTCATGGTTGTCAACAACAATACTACTCAACAAGGTAACTGCACAGATTTAAACTTCAAAATAGATTACATGTGATGAAAAACATCATAGTACTATTTGGGAACCTTGAGTTTAGAGAACTCAGAGTTAAACATATATTCAAGAAAAGGGAACCATTTCAAATGAAGGTTAGGATTTTTACATGAGAGGTCTGTATGAACTGTTACCTCGGATATTTTATCCATGACATAATAATCCCATATTTTCAAACGCCATGAAGACAGTAATAACCTATTTGGGGATTTCCAACATCTGGCAGTGATAACCTTTACCAGGGGTCGTATCGTAGAAAAAGAGCTAGGGGAACTCATTAGCATAACTCATTAGCATATGCCACACCCCCTGACATCAGGGGCCCGGTGGTGGACCTGCAAGGCCGGCAGGAGTGCGAGGAAGCCCCGCCAAGGCCCTCCCTGGCCCCAGGCAGGCAGGGGTGGGGAGAGGCAGGGAGGAAGCAACTTCCCCTCCCTCTTTTTCTGCCTCCTCCTGGCTGAATGAGGGCTGGAAGTGGGGCGGCCGGAAGCGGGGGGCGGGGCTTCGTCATGTGCCCCGCCCCCTGCACCTCACCCGGGGGAACTGCGATCCCCCGCGATCCCCCCGAAATGACCTCTGACCTTTACTCAATTTATGTCACACTGGGGGCCAACAATTGCCCTCCTGTCAATCACGTCCTTTGAAAACCTGTTGCCCTGGTAGAATAGTTCATTTGATCAGTCCTGCGGCCTATCTTGCTCCTTACAAATGGGATGAATTGATCATTAGTCCTTCTAGAGCTGCCAGCGTGGCTTGCTGCTGAATGGGGGTGTGCACAGAGCTACGTAGCGGATGCTTCAAGTTGAACAGGTTGAAACATATCTCCTAGGAAGGCATAAATCAGGACAAAAAATGGGATGGAACGAGCACTGAAGGAAAAGCAAATGGCAATGGGCCCTCATTTGTTAAGACAGTGACTATATATAAAATCTGACAAAGAAGAAAGCCGGGATTAGGCAGATGGATGGAAGAATCATAGAATGTCAGGGTTGGAAGGGATCTTGCAGGTCATCTAGTCCAACCCCCTACACTCTGCAGGAGCATAGCCGAAAGAGAGCCCTACAACATACCCGAAAGATGGTCATCCAGCCTCCGCTTGAAAACGTCCAGCCAAGGAGCATCCGCCACCTCCAGAGGCAGTCTGTTCCACAGTTAGGAAGTTTCTCCTGATATTTAGCCAGTATCAACCACAGTTACTCCTGATAAGTTTCTCCTGATATTTAGCCAGCTCAACCACAGTTAGGAAGTTTCTCCTGATATTTAGCCAGTATCGACTCCCTTGTAATTTCCACCCGTTAGATCTAATCTTGCATTAGATCTAGTTATTAGTCATTAGATATAGAAGAAGAGCCGTGTTAGGTCAGGGGAAGGTGAAGGCAACCTTCACACTTCTAAAAGTCGTAATACAGATGCGTTCCAGAAATAGGAAATAAAATGCGGAGCAGATTGGAAAACATGCTTGAGGATTATTGACTCAAATACTAGAAGAAAGAGACGGGAGAACTGGAACTGATTATATATACACAGGGGCCAGGGCTCATTTTGTAGCAGGAACTCCTTTGCATATTAGGCGACACACCCCTAATGTAGCCAATCCTCCAAAAGCTTAGAGAGCTCTTCTTACAGGGGCTACTGTAAGCTCTTGGAGGATTGGCTAGAAGAAGAAGAGAAGAGATTGGATTTATACCCCGCCCTTCACTACCCAAAGGAGTCTCAGAGCGGCTTACAAACTCCTTTCCCTTCCCCTCCCCACAACAGACACCCTGTGAGGTAGGTGGGGCTGAGAGAGCTCTTGACAGAAACTGCTCTTTTTCAAGGACAGCTCTTATCAGAACTACGGCTTGCCCAAGGTCATCCAGCTAGGTGCAAGTGGAGGAGTGGGGAATCAAACCCGGTTCTCCCAGGTTAGAGTCCACGCACTTAACCACTACACCAAACTGGTTCTCTAGATCTAGTCTTGCATTAGATCTAGTCATTAGATGTAGAAGAAAAGCTGTGTTAGGTCAGTGGAAGGTGAAGGCAACCTTCACACTTCTAAAAGTCCCAATACAGATGCGTTCCAGAAATAGGAAATAAAATGCGGAGCAGATTGGAAAACATGCTTGAGGATTATTGACTCAAATACTAGAAAAAAGAGACGGGAGAACCTTGCAGGGCTTATTTTGTAGCAGGAACTCCCTTGCATATTAGGTGACCCACCCCTAATGTGGCCAATCCTCCAAGAGCTTACAGAGCTCTTCTTACAGGGGCTACTGTAAGCTCTTGGAGGATTGGCTACATTAGGGGGTGTGTCGCCTACTATGCAAAGGAGTTCCTGCTACAGAAAGACCCCAGTACTAAACAGAGAGAGAGAGACACAGAGAGAGAGAGAGAGAGAGAGAGACACACACACACAATTGGGAGACGTAGAATGTGAATGGAGGTGACCAAGAAAGACAGAATTGGGAGACAAGGCAATTTGAAATAAACAAAGTTTAGTCACAACAGCTGAGGTACCATGCTGCAATACAGTGAGGGCTGTCACATATTTAAAGCACAGGCACGGCCTTATTCTGAGTGTCTGCGGCTTTGGTGAACTTCACATGAGCTCAGCTTCCTGGACGATTGCTTCCCAAAGAGGCAATATGATTTATTTGCTGTTAAACTGCTGTTCGTTTAAAATAATCTGGCGGGGATGCCTGAAACTAAAGTGGCTTTTACAGAGCAATTTATAGAAATGTAACAGTCAAACCAAGATAAGAGAAAACTGGTTATCTTCATTGTCCTACGTTCTAGCAAGGGGAAAGGATTAATGATCAAGTATCAATACCATCCGCTAAATTTTTTATAGTTTTTTTTTTAATAATTATGTCTCTTAGAGGCACAATAATGACAGCTGATAACGTATGAAATCAGTAAGGCTTTATCATTTTAATTCTGGTCTTCTAGGTGCATTAATAATGCCAAGGATTTTAGAAGACATCTTTCTGCCTTAAGCAGAATTATTTGATTTCATTGAAAGTCCGTGGTATAGAAAAGCTGCTGTTTTTTGTGGTTCAAGTGGTTACGACACTGAACTGCAGACCAGAAGGTCGGTAGTTCAGCAGTTCGAGACCCGAGTGTGCCGCCTGACGGAGCGAGCGCCCATCTCTGGCCCCAGCTCCTGCCAGCCTAGCAGTTCGAAAGCAAGAAACTGCAAGTAGATAAATAGGTACCGCTTCAGTGGGAAGGTGACAGCATTCCATGCACCTCAGCATCTAGTCATGCCGGCCACATGACCATGGAAACATCTTCAGACAGCGCTGGCTCTTCGGCTTGGAAACGGAGATGAGCACCGCATCCCTAGAGTCAGATTCAACTGGCTTTCGAGCAAGGGAAACCTTTACCTTTACTGAAGGGCAGCTTTATTTTTATTTATTTATTTATTTATTTATATTTGAATTTCTACCCCACCCTACCCCGAAGGCTCAGGGCGGCTTACAGAGCACTAAGTGCCAGATTTTCAAATGCCCGTGAGAATAAAAGGGTTTGATGAAAGAATTTTGTATGCCTAAACTTTTGTTCATGTCCTTAACCTATTACTGTTAAGAAAAAGTCAGACACCAGAGAAACTGAAGGAGCATTCCTTATAGGTGTTGGCTCTGACCTTGAAAAACCTCTGCAAAGGAATAGTCTTTCTTGCTGACATCAGTATGTCCATATATAGAAATCGGGCCCTTCTGAAGGTCAGCTATGTTAAAGCACTTTGGGTGGCTTCATCTTGTTCTGATACTTTGCTGGTTGCCGATTTCCAGATTTTAAAAGTGACCTCCTCTAAGATTGCCGGGGTCCGACCTACCTGAGGGACCGCCTTTCCCCACATATACCTCCAAGAGCACTTCGGTCGGGGACACAACACCGCCTGGTGATTCCAGGCCCCCGGGAGGCAAAGCTTGCTTCAACCAGGGCCAGATCCTTCTCAGTGGCGGCCCCCACCTGGTGGAACGAGCTCCCGGAGGAGATCAGGGCCCTGCGGGACCTTATGCAGTTCCGCAGGGCCTGCAAGACGGAGCTCTTCCGCCAGGCTTTTATATAGGAGCCGCCACCTCTATTACTACCATCATTGGAACAACGGGGTTGGGAGTGGTAACCGGAAGAACTGCCATAATTCTGCATGGCACTGATGCTGCTGGACTGGCTTGGACCATCGACAGGACAATTTCACCCTAATGAAATTATCGATACCATCTTCAGAGACCATCTTGTTGTATGGAGCACTTTATTTGTTTTTGTTGTGACTTAATAGCTTTTAATGTTTTATACTGTTTTTATGTATGGGCTTGTGCCCCCGTGTAAGCCGCCCTGAGCCCGTTTGCGGGGAGGGCGGGGTAAAAATGCAATAAATAAATGAATGAACGGATCTCATTGCCTGATCCCTGACCTAATCAAGCTGGATCGTTTGGATTTTAGCCTGTTTAGTGACCATTCCTGTCAGTGGGACTAAATGGTGTAAATCAAGCATTTCAGCTTGACTGGGCTATGAGTTGGGTTACTGTATCCTTGTAGCATATTACAGTGCAAATCCAGAACAAATATGGTCATATTCTGCTGAGTGAATCGTTTTCGTCTACAGAGCTATTTCTCCCAAACTAATTGAACATAAAAATCCTACAGACAAATTCATGCTTGATTACACCTTATGATGCATTAACAGTACAGTACAATATTATTAAGGGCTGCGGTGGCTCAAGTGGTTAAGACGCTGCACTGCAGACCGGAAGGTCGGTAGTTCAGCAGTTCGAGACCCGAGTGCCGCATGACGGAGTGAGCTCCCGTCTCTGGCCCCAGCTCCTGCCAACCTAGCAGTTCGAAAGCAAGGAATTGCAAGTAGATAAATAGGGACCGCTTCGGTGGGAAGGTAACAGCATTCCATGCACCTTGGCATCTAGTCATGCCGGCCACATGACCACGGAAATGTCTTCGGACAGCGCTGGCTCTTCAGCTTGGAAACGGAGATGAGCACAGCATCCCTAGAGTTAGATTTGACTGGCTTTTGAGTAAGGGAAACCTTTACCTTTACAATATTATTACCCAGACTGAGTGTATATTTACGTTAAACTAAAAGGGGACAAAAAGCTTATTCAGTTTTGACATTTCTGTCCTGCATAGATCACTTGCTACTTCATTTGAAGGCAGACATGGCAATGTTCGTTACTGGCTGAAAGCAAGCTTGCACAGACCTTGGCATCTACCAGTAACATCAAAGAAGGAATTTACAGTCTTTCAGCATATAGATATCAACACTCCTGCATTACTGGTAAGATTCGACAGAATTACTCATTCTTTTGTTTTTGAAATAAAACAACAGCAACATGTGGTCCCTGAAAATCTCAAAACATGTGGCAATAATTGTTAAGTACAATGAAATATTTAAAGTATAAGAACATAATGACCTAGGAACCAGAAAGTGGTAGTATCCTTATTCTATTAGCCAGAGGTTTTTTTTCCTGTGCAGATACTTATTTCCACCAACAGGGGGCTCACTCTCCCCCAACAGCTTTTCCTACATAGTCAGTAGACTTCCTGGGTTTGTAGAAAAATCCAAAAACTAAAAAAATCCGTTCAGGGAAGGCTGAATTCCCCCAAAAAAACCTTTTGAAATGGCCTCTGCATGGATCTAACTCCAGGCATCAATGGTGAGAGATTAGAACGTTCAGGGCGGCGGGGGGGAGGCGCATGGAATGCTGTTACCTTCCCACCGAAGAGTTGCCAGTGCCAGGCTGGGGGATTTCTAGAGATTTTGTGGTGGACTGGGTTTGGGAAGGGAGAGGCCTCAGCTGGGTATGTTGTTCAGTCGCACAGTCGAGTCCGACTCTTCGCAACCCCATGGACCAGATCACGCCAGGCCTTCCGGTCTTCCGCCGTCCTCTGAAGTTTGCTCAACTTCAGAGTTGTGTTTTGAAGATTTCATACTTCTGTGGTTCTTACCATGAGTACATGGAAATATGTCCCATTGAAGTGAATAATACTTGTGTTTGGAATTGAGCTGTCTGGGTTTTTTTTAACAGTTTGAAATTAATACAGTTGGGGGTAAAGCTGCAATCTTAAACTTCACTCTTTGGAAGATAAGCCAAAAAGTTTTATTATCACCTATTCCACATATTCCACTAAATGCAATGAAATTTATTCCCAAGTAACATTGGCTGCAATTCTACGAACACTGTCCTGGTCCATCAGTGGCTATTAGCCACGAGGTATAGATAGGAACTCTCAGTCTGGGGCAAGGGATGTGTATTCTTGGTGCTTGAGGGGGGGGGCAACAGTGGGAGGGCTTCTAGTGCCCTGGCCCCACTGCTGGACCTCCTGATGGCACCTGGTATTTTTGGCCCCTGTGTGACACAGAGTGTTGGACTAGATGGGCCATCGGCCTGATTCAACATTGGCTTCTCTTATTGTTATATACTGAGATCAAGGCAGTTTCTTAAACAAGTGATTTCTTTATTCAGCTCATAACGCAGAGAACAGACAAAACCTTCATAGAACAATGCAACTATATACATTTTGAACCAGCGAGGCCACACCCCCTAGTACCATAATGTCCGATCACAATAGACAGCTTAGAACCAATGGGAGTCGTTCCCGTCGAAGATCAGAGTCATTCCTGATTGGTCTGTCAAACCTTGGTGACCAATCTGACTACAGGTTTTAGAATACCTGAGTCAATGGAGCTTGTGCCTGAAGCTCCGGCTAGCTAACTACGCAGTACAACTAAAGCAAATACTTATGTTCTTAAATAAGCCTTACTGAATAAAATGGGATTTCTGTCTGTGTAGCTTGGTTAGGGTCACTCCCTAGTTAGGATTACAACCATGGAGCCTGATTTTATACATACTTAAAGGTAAAGGTTCCCTTGATCGAAAGCCAGTCGAATCCGGCTCTAGGGTTGCAGTGCTCCTCTCCGTTTCCAAGCCGAAGAGCCAGCGCTGTCCGAAGACATTTCCGTGGTCATGTGGCCGGCATGACTAAACACCAAGGCGCACGGAACGCTGTCACCTTCCCACCGAAGTGGTACCTATTTATCTACTTGCAATTTCTTGCTTTCGAACTGCTAGGTTGGCAGGAGCTGGAACTAGAGACGGGAGCTCATTCCATCATGTGGCACCTGGGTCTTGAACTGCTGAACTACCAACCTTCCACAGCCTGCAGTTCAGCGTCTTAACCACTTGAGCCACCGCAGCTTACTTACTTACATACTTAGAACTAAATTTCACTGTATAGCAGGGCTTGCTGCCAGGTATACATAGAATTGCAGGTCCTGGAAGCAGATCCATTTGAGCTCTGTATGATTTAATTTGAACAAATATACATCGACTGTGACTACACATTAGTTTACAGGTACCTAAATCTGTAAAACGAAGAACATCAATGTAATTAGGCTGTCAACTAATCCGTTGCCATTCTTTCCTGTTCAAACAAATGTACTTGTTCTCAATGGAATCAAATAAATATGGTTAGGATCAGGCAGTAAATATTTGTAGGACTCGGATGTTAGCTTTTAAGTATTGACAGGCAGGAGACGATGATCAATAACAAAGCTTTTATTCATAACACTAGGGAGCAAAGCCCGTTGTGGAGGAAGACAACGGGCCCTAGAAAGATTGGAAGGGTGGGTGGGTGGAAGGGAGAGCGAGAGCGAGAGCGAGAGCGAGAGAGAAAGAAACAAAGAAAGAAAGAAAGAAAGAAAGAAA